TAGCAGGATTTAAAAGAAAAGATCGTGTATCTCTAGAAATGCAATTTGCAATTGCAGAGTCCAACTTTCATATAATGAAACGGCTCCAATTCCCCTTCTGTTTACTTTCCAGCGGCTTTGAGAAGAGTCTTTAGCAAGCTTCATTTTACAATAGCAGAATACAGAGACCTCACTGCAGAGGAAATCCGTAAGACTGTGAACATCTACCAGTGCGAAGACCACAAGGACAAAGACTGTTTTGTTTGCTGTATCCTGTCTCATGGGAAAAAAGGCATTGTATACGGTGTTGATGGGCAGGAAGTACCTATCCAGGAACTGACCACTTCTTTCACTGGACAGAATTGCCGCTCGCTTGCTGGAAAACCAAAAGTGTTTTTTGTTCAGGCCTGCCAAGGTGATGCTTGCCAGCAAGGTGTGACCATCGAAACAGATTGTGGAGAGCAAGATTCTTCTGTAGAAACAGATGCAAGATTTCAGCTCGACTGCATCCCCGCAGAAGCAGACTTCCTCTTGGGCATGGCTACCCTGCAAGATTACGTTTCCTACAGGAGCCCAAGGCAGGGGACCTGGTACATACAGGCATTGTGCCAGCACTTGGAGTACAGCTGTCCTCGGTAACTATGTTTCCATAAGCTTTTTTTTTGGCGACACCTGTATTTTCCTTCTCAATGACAGGAGTTTGGTTTGGATGCAGAGGTAGATGGTATGCAGTGGGAGTGCTCGCTCACAGTGAAAACAGTAATGTAGGACAGAGCAACACCATGCGGATTGTTCAAAGCAGCTCAGCTAACTGCTTTGAAGCCTGTTTAAAACAGGAGCCATTAGCACTGGTATAGATCAAGATATATGAGAATGTGGTAATTTTTCTGATCTTAACTGCCTCCCTAACACAAAGTGTACTTTGTGTTTTTGCAGAGGAGAAGACATTCTCACCATCTTGACAGCAGTGAATCAAGAGGTGAGCAGAAAGAGTTGCAAGCCAAATGCAGAGAAGCAGATGCCACAGCCCAGTTTCACACTGAGGAAAAAGCTCATCTTTCCTGTCAACTAAGTGGGAGGGAACTGCACGGCAGAGGGAGCTGCAGCAGCCTGGAATCGGCTGGTATCAGCTAAGAATTTGGTAAAACATAACAGACTTTCAGTGTCTGCTCTTACCACAAGAGCAAATATTTTTATTGAAAATACAGCCGAGGAGCAAAAGCCTTAAGAAATTAGTGTTAATATGTATGACACTTTATACTTGCAAGCATCTCTGAGCGGGTCTCCTTGTGGTTTGCTAGCTAAAATACGCTCCGTGTCCTCTATCGGCTGTACCGCATTGCTGTTGCTTTAGTAAGGTATCTTTCCAATGCAAATTTTAAGACAACTGTTATGAAGCCTTGTTTATTTTACGCCTAACTTTTGCAAAATAAAGGAGGCGCTGCAAATTTTATAGGATATAATCAGCTCACATCAGTGTGTTTTGTTACTTCTCCCCACCACTTAAAATCATTGATTTTCTGTGCCTTGGTACACCTCAAGGAAGAGTCAAGCACGTGAGCTCCAGCATCCTCAGCAGGATGGGGCTGTGACCTGCATTTCAGAGTATCCTCTACATAAGTAGTCTTAACAGTGAAAATCAATTGCTCAGGTGCAGCTTCATGTTTGAAGATGTCCAGTTATCCTGTGTTCACTTAACTTGCTGACCTTTGAGTCTCAGTTCTAGGCACAGCAAAAGAAAAAGTCGCTAGATAAGTACCCAGCTCCTTAAAAACGTTTTTATATTGCCTCCTGTGATTAATACGCACATAGAATAGGGAGTTTTACGAGCTCTGAGTAGAAGCTGAAGCTTTGTTAGTATCTCTGTTTTGTTTTGTTTTGAATGAGATGTTCATTCTGTTATACCCTTGTTAAAGCTTTCAGCATTAGTAATGGTATCAATGTAGGTGATTATTTAACTGAACAGATAGATCTTCACTGGAATTATTTTAAAAGCCTAAGTCCTTCCCTAGACTCTTGTGCTGAATACTTCTCTCTTTGGTACCAGTTTGTGTCTGTGAAGATAAGGGCAGAGAGATTATAGACACTGAGAATGATTAGAACCTTAACAATTGGCAGATGCAGCAAGCAGTTACAGAAACAGGCAAATCTGTGCTTCCAAATTCTAGGAGTAATTTTTCCTAGA